CTTTTTTCACAAGCTGAAGATGATAACCGTTAACATCAACTGCAAATATTCATTTCATGATTAATTAAATAATTTAAAAATAACTTATTAAACAGCAGAAGTTTCCTAGTTACTTACCTTTGTCTTGGGTTCTAGCACATCGAGATTTAAAAGCTGAAGTTGCAGGAAACAAAGAAAATGAGGTATAGTTTTTCAGAAATAAATGGTAACCATTTTAGTTAGTCTTTTGATTTCAGTTCAGTGTCCTTGTGTTATGTTCCCTCTAAGTCCCAAATAGATTCTCAGTGCTCGTTCGTCGACAGCTGGTAACGACAGCCAAAGCACGGAATCACGTGAGAGGGAATACGTGGCAGAGTGCTGAGCCTCTCCAGTGGCTGAGAGCATCTATGTTAAACTACCAAACAGTAAACCCACGAAGCTTTGATCGAAGTGGCTAACCGAGATCATTGTGCTTCTAAAATCAGATTTGCCTATGAGAAGGAAAACTTGGCGGCAAATTGAACTGATGAATTCAGAATTATCGCTTGGCGTTTCTCCAAAAAAAACTACGCGTTAATCCTTTGGATTAAAAAGGCGGCTTTTGAGCATATCGACGAAATACCGGGGCGATTTTTGATCGAAGATATCGTAAAATGATAACACGGCTGAAAAGCCTCCATCGTTTTGATGGTCAGGATGCGAACAAATATGAACAAAAACATTATACCGGCTAGGTCATTTATGATATTAATATTATATTAGACAGAGGGTGATATTTATTTTCATCTGACTTTTTTCCTGCAAGTGCCATCATATTATTTCTGCCCACCACTGAGAAAATATTGCCAATAATAATTAGATACCGTGGAAGCATAAAAATTTATTCGAATGCCAGAGTACGTTAAACGTCAGATTATTATCTTAAGAGCAGACTGCACCGCCTCCTTGCTTCTGCCTACTCAAACGCACTTATGCAAGCCTATTGCGTAAGTAGACATGGAAACGAGGCATGATCAACGAAAACAATAATTGGTACATGAACTCTACTTTAAACAAACAAATTTCAATGTAATTCTGCTT